AAGTGACATCATAAGTCCATTGTGGACACATATTGTTTCATTTAGTGACCATGTCGCTTAGCGATGGAGTTGCTAGTCCCAATTGTGGTCACTAAGCAAGGACTACCTGTACTCTACACTGCTATGTACTCTATGGCAGTATTTATTTTTTTTTACTGATGCAAATATCCTGGAAAATTTAGAACAGAATACAACCCTGAGGAGAAAACAACTATTTATTCAGTGATTTTTGGGTCCCCACTTTATAAGAAAGAAGAAACAGTGGACTACCTGTACTCTACACTGCTATGTACTCTATGGCAGTATTTATTTTTTTTTACTGATGCAAATATCCTGGAAAATTTAGAACAGAATACAACCCTGAGGAGAAAACAACTATTTATTCAGTGATTTTTGGGTCCCCACTTTATAAGAAAGAAGAAACAGTGGGAAAGCAAGGCTTATTATTAAGTTGAGGGATATGGGGTGGGAAATCCTAGGGATCTGATGTGTGGGAAATTTTGGGAAAGCAGGTCCTTGCCGGTGTACATGGGGTTATCTTAGTTGTTAGGCAAAACTGCCCTTTCAAGGGCTGGGGATGTCCCTCGTTAAGGAGATGGAACGTTGAAGTAATTGGGGGCGTGTCCCTGATTCAGGATGGAATGTTGAGGTTTCTCATCTGGTTACTATGTTGCAGTTCCTTTATTAGGACTGCCCTTGGGCTGTAGTGTGAGCGGGTGAGGAGGCTTCTGGGAGGGTTCAGATGGGATTGCAGGGGCTTTGTCTGGGGGCAGGGAGGGCCCATTTGGGTCTGCTGGATTAATCAAAGAGACGAGCTGGGGTTGACCCTGGTCACATCCAAAAGACAGGGAGGAAGGAGGTGGAGCCTCCATTCTGACAACTTAAAACATCCCAACAGCTTAGAAGATAGGAACAAAGCCCTCTTCTGTCCAGTATTCTGTTCGTAGAGTAGCCAACTTTGTTTGTTTGTTTGACTTTACTTCCCATGAGAAGCCTATACGGAATGCAGTAGCACTTGGGGCCATGGAAGATGTTCTATCACAGAACTCGCTGACCACAGAATGGATCATTCTGAACTCAGAATGGTCCATGTGCTCCAGAAGGGTTCCCACCACAAAAATGTGGCCGTTCCAAAGTTGGAATACTTTCTTTCAAGGTCAGAGCATTCTGGCTGGCATCACTTACATGCTTCTAATAGCAACTTCTTGTTTCTATTCTTCAACAAAAGATATTGAACTCTCTACTGCTTCGGGTCATTATAACTAGCAGCCCTTTTCTCTATGATGGTGAAGAGCAGGGAAGAAATGTAATGCCAGTTTTCCTGATTTCACATTGTTGAATCAGGATGTGAGCTGAACTCTAGTTATCTTCCTGAATTCTCATTTCTCCATATTTGGTGATGCTCTTCTCTAATCACTCACTCTCACCCACACATTGCATATAATAGTGAATATCAAACAAAATTGCATTATATGAAGGAATGCTGTTTCAGGAAAGAAAATACCTTCTTTCAGAGTCTAGATTCTAGAAAAGATCTCTGTGTTTTTTAAAGTTCTGGCTTTGGTAGAGGACCAAGTAAGGAATCAACAACAAGACAATTATAGCCTTCCAGATGAAGTGTGTGGAGCCCCAAAATCAAATCATAAGATTTTTTAAATGTTAAAAATGATTGAAATCTCTTAAGATTTTGGTGGGCTGACAAGATTTAAAGCAAGGATAAAAGGACACAGTTATCTCAGGGTACAAATGCTAAATTCTCAAGGAACTTTGGCAGTCTTGTAAGATTTTGACCTATGTCTATCTTTGGGTGGCAGGGCTTGAACATACATATTGTTGAGGTCTACTCCAGTGAAAAACAGTTCTGTATCAATGGGATAACCACGAAAAAGGATGTGTTTCTGCCATTTAAACCTGTAACACAGAAGGAGTGGTTGATGCTTACGTGATATTAAAGAAATAGAATTTGGGAAAAGAACATCCAAAAAAAGATGGAAATCTGATTTCTACCCAGAAATGTAGCATTTCTTTTTCCAGTGGGAGTTTCCTGGCTTTTGGCTCCTTAAACCTAGGGTATTCATAGAAAGAAAGATGTTGGTGGCATTTTCCATGGGAGCAAAGAATGTGATTCCTATCTCTCTCCAGTGAAAAGTTGCATTTTAAAATCACCCATCAGTGATTCAGTATTTAAGGTCTCCCTTTCTCTCCTATGTGAGAAGGATAATCCAGAGAGGATTAAAAACAGAGGGAATATTTGAGGGGGTGGACAGTTTGGAATCTGTTTCTTGAAGCTACCATTGTAAAAATGTTAAAGATACTGTCTTACGCTCTCTGTGAGTTGGAGAGCCTAAATCTTGATAGGGCATGTGTTTTTAAGGAGACAAGATTTCCAGTTTGAAAAATACAAAAGAAATTAGCACTAAGTACTTTTTGTTTCTACACTCTGTTTAAAATATGCTTGGAATGAATCATCGTACAGATGGCTTGATGGTTACAAGAAATAGTTCAGTGTCTTTAAAGGGGGAAAAAAGGGAATCTGAAAGCTAATCTCCTGGTGCTATTATTGAATCATATCAAATCTAAGGTCCGCTTTAACTTGCTTTTCGAGTTTGAGGACATCACTGAATGTCAGCTGCATTTAGTCCATTGTGTTACTGGGTTTTGTGGAAATAGGTTTTGCTCAAATAGGTTATGCAATCACTGGGTGTTTTAGGGGGGCCTGTGTCGGGTTCAGCCCAAGAATCACACGAGACAGTCTGAAAATCAGCTCAGCTTCTTTATTAGCTAACACCTAGGAGACAGAATCTCATAGACCAACCCCAATTCCCCAACAAGAACAACTATAACCATCAAGCCCTTAGGGAGGGGCCAGTCTCTTCCTCCTTACTTGCACACACAGTCCAGCTGGGGGCTGAGGAGATGCTTGGAATCTCTCTCCCCCCCCCCCCCCCCCCCATAACCTTGAAGCTCCATTTCAGAATCCTCCCCACTCATGCCCTCCATCACAGCCTGGGCTGTGGCATCAATACAGTCAAGGCACTGTGGGGCCTGGTTGGGGATTCTGTTCTTTAAAAATCAAACCTGGTTGTGATCTGTTGGGTTGGTGCATGCCCATAAAGAACATAGGCATTTGCCTAGGATTGTGCGATGGGTAGGGATGAAACCCTAGGTGGAAGTGGGTGGCAAGTAAGCAGCCAGCTTCAGTGTGTGCTGACTAAGCTGACCTCTAGATGGCAGCTGAGAGACATAGTCAGACCACTCTACTTCTTTGCTGCCATCTACTGGTCACGTAAATTCCTGCTACATGGAAGATTCATGTAGATTCCAGACCGGCAGTATATCCTTGTACAGATGCAACCTGCAGGTGCTACTCCTTGCTCAGAGAATGCTCTGAGTTGCCCCCATTGTCATTACT